CCTTCTGTGACTGGTACTTTGATAACAAAATCGGTATCGTCATCTGTCGTCAACTTGGACTCCGGTAAGGCATCAGACTAAGATCGTATACAACGGATATTGTTAGTTCACGGTAAATCTTCAACATATCTATTTTTACCGACAGATAATCTGATTTGATAAACAAATCAGCTGATATCACCTCTACAAGAATTGCTGGCTATATTTTGTTTAACATTAGATGTCTGGCCATGTCATGACCTAGGGAATGTATATGACATTTATATATCTCAAACTATTTGGAAATTGTATTAATATATTAACTTAAAAAGAGATAATAGTTCTTTTGTTTTGTCTTAGTTTTATTGAATTTGAGTTTGGATTGTGGTTGTGTTGGTATTTCCTTGTTGTTTTTCGTCCTTGTAGGGAAGAATGAAAATTACCTTTTCAAATCATTAATTTAATCATCAATTTAACCTTAAACTTTTTCCCTAATCAGCTAAGTCGTTTGAATGTTTACATCGTTTGGTAGATTGTTAAGTTATGAACACGTGCTCTTTGTTCACAGTTATGCGGTTCGCAGCAACTCTACAAGTTATGGTAGCAGCTCTAGAGTAGCATGGATGCAATATATCTCTTGTTTAGGAAACGAAGAAAGACTGGAACATTGCTCTTTCAAAGGCTGGATTATTGTAACTAAATGTTATGACGGTCAGCAGCTAGGAATCGTCTGTAAACCATAGTAATTTAAATGGTTTGTCCCTCGATTTTATTCATCTTACGCTATATTTTGGGGATAGAAAAGCATTCCTTTTGCTTCAACATGTTTGTAAAACACGTATATAACAAAAAAACAACCCCTACAATACTTATTTGTGGCACGCTCTATCTAAAAAATAACACTTGCCTTTTGTGTAATTTCCAGTGATTAGATTGTTAATCACAAATCGTAAACCAGGTGTCGGAACAATATTCTTTCCCTTGTGTCTGTTCATTCTTCCGTCCGTCCTTCCGCTTTCTCGTCCGGGCACTACATGTCATTGGCACTTGAGCACGAGCTCCCCTTGATGAGGTTGTATGTAACGTATCAAAAGTAGGTCAGTCTGACCTGTAGTTTGCCCTTTGACCTACATAAATGAAAATGTATGTCTGGACCTTATCTCCAACATTACATGTCACTACAATTTTAAACTTTGAGTTTGGGTTTTTTGCCTTAGTATCGCAGTTGTGTATAAAAAGTAAGTCAGGTCACTTTCACCTACATTTTGACCTTTGACCTACAACAAAGAAAATGTTAGTCTGGGCGCTTTCTCCTACACTAACTATTACTGGTATTTCGTATTTGGGGTATGGGTTCACCTTGATGAGACATTTTGTCGGTGAGGGACTAATATTTGTTGAATTGTCTTGTTAAGGTTAATGTGTTTTTGTTGGCAACGGGATAAATCATGTTTCACATACTGCATACGTTTCATTTGAAATTCACAGATGTAAATTGTCAATGTAAGAAGAATGAAAAAAATGGAAGGCATTAACGATAATGCCATAATATTACAATAAACCTGATCCGAATTTCTCAAAGTTCGGTAGATGTCAACCAGTGGTAAGTGGGAAATTTAAATTGTTACCACTAGAATAAACAAAGATTTACACATAAGAAATGCCGCTATCAGTACCATTCTCACATGTCTCATCTACAGATTGAATTTTTAAGGAGTATTCCAAATTTCATTCAATCCATTTTGAATTTTTAACTACAAGCTTTGAGTATCTAGATCAAGGTTGCCGTTGCGTGCCATGTTATGTACATTTTTTTCAAAATTGAACGAACTTCCCAATATTATAAGGTTTAAACTTCCTTACGTATTGCACGCAATGCATATTGAACCATTAAATATTTGTATATGTATTACTATCGTAAACATTTATGATCTGATCGGACAAATATTTACGTTTTAATCAGGAGTTGTCTCTCCTTGTACAAAACAAAAGCAAATATGCGTCAGTACCAATAATCATGAAAGTAGTGACTCCCTCTGACAAGCACCTGTTCCGGTTGCACAGGTGTAGTGTTGATGTTGTATTACCAGCCATTAAAATCGTGCCTAGCAGTATTGTGTTATAGTTTTGACTTTATCATGTATTGAGAGTGTAAGAACCTCTGAAGCACCTGCTTAGATTTTGTTGGTCATCGATTCAGGTTTAAGCTGAAATGATATGAAGAAAATGACAAAGCCTTAAAAGGGATAAGCATTTGCTAACTTGTATGTATAATCAATAGATGTGCTGTTAAAAAGGACTTAATCCGTGTTGATGTTTATTCAAAGTTGTGTATGTAGAAGTTTCGACCGTAGTATTATCATTACGTTATCGTCATATAGACGATAGGCAACACCAAATTAATGTTCTCTGTTAAAGTTATTTTTCTTTAAATGGACGTACCACAAACGTTGCGTTACAGTTACAAGTATGATAACTAACCGAAAACTTGTCGGGAAATTTACCTTAAAAAGAAATGCTCGAGAAGCAAATTAATTGTTTTTTTTTTTTTTTGTAAAATACATAATAAGAAAATGCATGATTATTTCGCATCAGATTTTTTAAACGAGTCTCATCAGGTTTTGTTTTTGAGCCATTTTGATACGCCATTTTAAACTGAGGCATTGAACAAAAACATTCTAATATATATTACAAGTGTGACATATGCGCAAAATTATTGCACGGGCGTATTCACTTGATAACAAGCCTATTGTGAGGCGAATCTCAATTATTTGGGCCTAAACATATTCGTAAATAGTTTGTGTTATAAATGTTTGGGCGGCTTGTGATGTACAAAACAAAACAGGACACAAACCATCAGATACAGTTTTATTACTGAAACAGGTGTCCGTTGCAACGCCAGTCAAATCAGCGATCACAAATGAAACAGACAACGGACACAAACATGATGTAAACATGGCACACATATATCATTGAATGATACTTTAATGCAATACATAAATATATATTATATATCAATAGTGTTTCTACATTGCTAGCTCTAGCTGCTGTAGTAAGTCATGAGGATGATGTAAGACAATGAATGACCATACGAAATTGAAGTGCATTTCATGATTAGGTAGGGTTGAAGTGTGAATTGACACAAAATAACATATCTTCCCCTATCCTTCGTTTTCACTTTTAGTTACAATGTAACACCAACATGTCAGTATAATAGTCTATATTACAATAACTAAACAGTGCTATAAAATTCCATTAGAATTTCCATTTATGAAATCAAATGTTGGATTTCCATTTATTAGGTGTTCGTTTTACAGATTAGATATGTCACTACCTACCTTCCTAAATACATCCCCAAAGTTTCTTTGACAAACGCGAGATATCTAGATCACAATCAAATCTATTGAATCAGTATCAAAACAGACTATTTCATGTGATGAATCTTGTTCATTGTGTTGGTCTGAACTCGCGGCGATTAACTTTTAGTGAATTTAGATATGTCGCAACATTGTTGAATATAAATCACTCGCGAAAAAGGTTGGCACCCTCATATGATAAAGCACAACCGCATATATCAATAGATATACCGATATTTACTACATCAATTGTATGCGCCGACAACAAATCACTTACATATAGAAAGGAGACATGTCCACTGGACATTAAATATCAAAAAAGAAAAAGCACAAAAATTTTTTATTATTGAAGTAAAATAATTTTGACAAATAAATTATTTCTTTTCTTTGCAATGTAAACTTCAACACACAATGATATGTTTATGATAGAATTAAGTTGTTTACTATCAAATATTTACACTAATGTACATCATACATTTGCTGATGACGGAGGAGTAATATGTTTTCATGGGTTGTGTCTCACGTAAACTAATGTAAAACAGAACAGACAAGATACATGTCATTTTACCTACATTTGGTATTATCCCCTGACTAAGAAACACCTTCTCTACGAACATTTACTTATCACAAGTTCGTTTTGATAGTTCGGTTAGCTTTCAGGGCCGCTGACTATAAAGCAACGTGTACATATAAAGGATTGAACATAGGTTTGTTTGATATTCATGCCGGTACGATAACATGAAGTCTATAAGTATAAGTTTTTTTTTAATGAAAATTCAAAATCTGAAATGTAATCTGTTACTTATCAGAAATGGTGTTCAAACTACTTACCATATCGAGTTGTCACAGTTGGAAAAAATGACATTTTCGAAATAGCTCAGCGTCATAATAATGTTTTGCTATCCTGATTCCGTTTAACATATGTTTACAAAATAATCGAGTATTTAGTATCATACTCTTCCGTCTACATAAGTCTGTGTTATGTTAACAAACGTAAAAAGTATCATTATGCTGTCTTGTAAGAGACATAATCTTGTCAATATATCTTCTATTGAATTGGATGTTTACGGTAGAGAAAAGGGTGTTATTATCTAAGTATCACCACCTGTGTGTGTTTTAGTCTGCTTTGGATATCTTCTGTATCTAAAAAAAACAAATTGAAACAAATACTCTGCATAAACTAAATGTTGCAATATCAAGGTCGGAAATTCTGGATACAAGGAAAATTGTGTTTTATACGTGTCGTTCACCAATCTCTTACACAAACCCAGACTCTAAAATCAATTATTTGATATATATAAAGAAGATCTTGACAGATATAAGTTATAGTGTTGTTTTATTACACGAAACACCACTATTCATAGACACAAATTTCTTGTAACTGTACAAACAATCTATACAAATATCTATTTCTTAACATAACATTCTGTCGTTTTGACCTTCATTGCTGTGTAATTCATGATCAGTATATTACAAATATATAACGAACCATACTTCATTTTTTATCCAAACAACTGCATGTTTTTAGTTCCGCTTCAAACAAATTAATCATGCTATACTGACGCCGCGCCTATGTATTAACGGCACAGCTATATGTGCCACCGCCAATTGCTACCAATGATATGTACGCTCTGTTTATCACCGCAATAAACACATTTGCATTGCTTAAACTCCATTTCTTCTTCTCCTCTGACACTTCCGGCTGCACATACATCTTTTGATCCATGCAAACTTTAAGTAGGTATGTTTTCCTCCGTCACATCGGAACTCAATATCTCGAGTCTGTTGTCTTCTAGGGTAGCAACAGCGGTTATCTCTGCAGGTGGTGCAAAACTTCATCCGGAACGGCTTGGTGCTGGTACAGTTTTGTCCGGAGGATTGGTAATCAATATGTCGTCTGTGTTTTGTACGTGTTGTGGGTGTACATTTGCTCCTTCCCTGCAACATGACCATAGAATTTAAATTGTTGATTTTTTTTATCACAGAAACGGATATAATGAAGTATAAACCTCATAGAGAATACATGTGTCAGCTAGAGTAACATAGAACAAACAAAATCACCAGTATTATATCAGGTAATATTAACTTATTAGATCTAAAGTGAAGGGTATGAATACTTCACTGCAGGCGATAAAATCTGTTTCCATACAAAACTAGTAATCTTTATATTGAAATATTAATGCATAGGTATTGATTACGAATACGAAAGGAAAGTGCAGCCATTATCACAAACTATCTATAGTGACATAGACATCTTTAAAGATTAACCAACACCCCGTACCAAGATTTGTGATAAATTACAAAGCTACGTTCGAGAATTAACTTAATTAAAAACAAGTGATATATATATATATATATATATAAACAGTTTATTTCTTAAACCGTTTATTTCTCCTCCTAGGATAACGGAGGCTCTTGCCTTACCCAGCTTTACAGCAAAGGATTAACGATGTTTGAATTCATCACTGTTAATGCAAATTATCATTGGCTACGGTTGTATTGTAATCGGAAATCAACACTCGAATTTTTAAAAATTTAAATCAGTTTCTATTTATGGCGTTGGATATCGATGTAAAACGAAGTAAATTTTTTAGCAAATTCTAGGCAATTTTGACTAGCAAAACATTGCAGAGTATGGTGCAATGCACCACAATTCAAAAACATATATATATATATATATATACGAAAAGAATAAAATCAACACGACAAATGTATTCCGCTGACGTTTTCAGGCCTAATGGCCATCTTCAGGCGATACATTTATTATAACGTCACTGTTCATTGAAGCAGCTGTCAATTAAAGATATCATAAAACGGTGTTTTGTAAACCATTTCCTTCTAGCAGAATTCTACACTAATCCGTTGAAAAGCAGTGTTCGACCATTTGTTTATACGTAATACAGCAATGTCTACGGAAATCTAAGAAGCGATAATAAAGTACATATACAGGTATCTGCAATGTTCTTGACATCAATGATGAGGATCTAGACATCTGTGTGCAAGCACAATTGTCTGCATAGCTCTAGTCACCAAGGACGGGAGGCGATCTAGATAGCTAAGTTCACGTACTAATTTACAATGTCATCGGAGTACGTAAGAAACCAATTTCTGCAATGTGTCTGACATCCCGGTAGATATCTAGGTTCTGTTTGGTTTCTGTTACTAGACACTAAGATTTAGACACTTTCGACGTGAAAGTCTACACCATTCCCATTACGTGTTCTAGGATCTTGACAAACACGTGATAAAGTATGTACAGAGTTTTAGTCATCCGGATCTAAGATAAAGACATGTACCAAAGTGTCAACATTGGTCCTGACATGGGACAAAAGGATATAGGCAGTTGTATAACACACATTCGTCACTTTTCAAGTCAATAGACACTAGGATCTAGATAATCATTAACGAAGTGCCTACACCATTCCTTTAAATGCTTCGGTTATAAGGAACGGATATCCAGTAAACTACATTATATCATGTATGCATCGTTCTGTTTCTGTGCAGAAATGTTCCGATGGTATTAAACATTGTTCAGTTATGCACTCTTACCTATGTAAACAAATGATTTTATTTCGTGTGTATTTTTATCATGTTGGTAACAAAGATGTAATTTTTTTAATAGGCATGTAAGTAATGGAACTACTGTTGGTTATTATAATTAACGAAAGTTTCTTGTTTGTCTTTTTTATCATCGGCACTAGTTGGTCTGCTCTTTTAAAAACAATTATATCACAACAATCGAATCCTACGTTTGGTAAAATGTGATGTTACATAAATAATTACGGTTGGAATTTCATGCATACTTTCCTGGTGGTGTAGAATCTTGAATTCGTTTACTTTTATTATTCGGTTTTCAGAGCAACATGACTCAGGAAATCTGTTGTTTATGTTTGGGTAAAGCGAAGAAAAGGTTGCAATAATCTCATTTGAATACGTATCATCGTATACAACATTAGCAATGTCGAAGAAATGTTCCAAAACTCCTTGTTAAAACACTGTTGTCACGAATCGCTTGTCTCGATTGATTATATATTATTCAATGTTATGACTTCAGGCAATGTTGTTTTCAAGTCTTATTGGAAGATTAACACAAACGAATGGATATTTTAGATTCTGATTAATAACTATACATTTTGGAACCCGTTTTTATGATTTTAATTATATTTTTATCAAATTAAAACAAATTTAAAAAATAATATATTCCAGTGGCCTCTAGCAGCGGGAGAGGCAACGCATACTTCGCTGTGTATATACTTCACAAATAAAAACAAATATTTCCAAAATTTGTATCAGTGACAACTGTGTCAGGTTTCAGTAAAAAAAATATAGTAAATAAGATGACAAACGATTCTGTAGGATGTCTCTGCGTATGAATGTTAAAAATACCTTCCAAAATCCGTTATGGTTCGGTGATTTTGTTGGATGTAAAAGACATGTGGTAGTGATGTAACGGTGTTAGTAGCTTGTGTGGCTACCATTGGCTAGGGTCACAACATTACAACGCCGAAGTGTAGAGCCTTTATATGGACGAATGGTGGGAGCCAGGATAGCGTTCCTCTCCTCATTGAATTCCTGCGTCAGTTACTGTAAGTTGGATGGCGGATTAGGCCGACGTCGTACTCGCCTTCAGGATTATGAAGATCAATCAAAAACTAAGACATTGTCTTGTGGTAAAAACGTCCTAGTCACGCGACTGGTGTGCTGTATCATGCTGCAAAATGGACTAAGCTCCTAGATGTAAAACCGAACGACGTCCCAATACCAAATTGCATTTACACTGCCTATGAAATGACTAATCGGGTTCGATTTCGGATATGCCGCCCAAGATCATCACACTACTGCACTAAATTTGTCACGCAGGGCTACCAAGCAGTCTGCAAAGCGTTCTCTCCGACTTTGCCGTACTCGCCCGTATTTCTTCCTTTGTAAATCAAACAAGATCCCGACTCATCAGTAAACAAACCATTGTTGCATCCCCGTAGGAGCTATCGTCAGTGTTCGCGAGCCCAGTAAAGGCGATTGGTGCGATGGTGGCGCCTAAAGACGAGGTCTCGGTAGGTCATCATCTCACACATTCGGCTACGTTTCAACCGGGTACAGATGACATGGCTGCTTACTCGTCGACCAAGCTAAGTCTTTGCTATTACCCTGCAGCAATATTAGACGGTCTTCATGAAGGGTGGAAACACGTGATCGACCGATTCTTGAACTGTCGATTGCATATAAACGTTGCCATAAACAAAATGTCGTCTGTTGGCTACACTCAAACTAACATGCAACCTTGCGTTGCGTTGCGTTGCGCCGACTTGGAGCATGCCAATAGCCCTTTCCCTCTCTTCTTCAGTCAGACGCAGAATTGTAATAATCTTTAAAATCTAAACTCAAATTACGATTTTTTAAGTGTTAAAAGTTTTAAAGCGTTTCACGAAATTCAACTAAACAAATCTCGAGTAAAGTGAAGGAATTTTTGTTCTATGAGACAATCTTTGAATTTCAGGCCTAACTGATTTCAATAAGTGTTGGTAATTCTTCCAGAGATTCCTACAATTCGCATTAGTAACTGAAAAAAATATCTATATAATCAATCAACGTTTATGGTAACTTGATAACCTTTTTTATTTGTTAAGATATATGAATTACAATATAAATTACAGCTGGCATGTAATGACCTTTAACTAAAAAGATTCAGTCGACAAGTCCCTTTGAAACACTAATTTATCTTCAGCTCAATTCAGGAAGTTGTATTGTTTATGAGAATCCATCTTAACAAAGTTTACGAAATTCTTCTACTTTCGACAAATACACCGATCGATTACAACAGCTCACAGAATTCCGTCCAGAGAGCTCAAAACAATTTACTTTCAGCACCGAATTACATATCAAAGTCATTGCTTTAACAAAACGAAACTGGTGCGTCATTCTGAAAATAATTATTATTGTTTATGTTACCATGAAATATTGCTAAACTATTATCTCATACAGATCTAGACACTGTGATGTTTTATCTTGAGAAATATGATAAGTGTTTTACATAAATACAGATAAATTGCCAAATCCATAAACAATTAAGCATATAGTTGATTCAACTTCATACATGCATCATGTAAGGCTTACACCATTGTGCATAAAACAAAATTTACGCGAGTAAGGATTTTCAATGACCAATGGTCCAGACAGACCTGGGATCGTTGCAAGACTTTATCTCTTTTAATGCTCTTTTTATCGCGATGCTGTTATATATATATATATCAGCCGATAAAATATAACTGAAAAATATATATTCGGATATAATTCCTTAATCCGCTACAAATTCAGAAATAAATGGATGGTTAGATGAGCGGGTGGTTGGATTAGCGTGTTGTTGGAGGCAGGTGAAGAATGGGTTTAGTGTTTTATTACTAATTGTTCTTTTGAAAGCTATGGTCATTTAAGGAAGGCCTCTCAATGTATGCAGATAAATGTATGAGTTGAGTTGTTTTTCGGAGTCCACGATATGTTCGATATGTGATGATGTGGAAATGAAGCCAATGTCATAGTTTCATCACACTGAAGCATACTGATGAAAGCCTCCAGCACAACACCCCAACTTCATATTATACTGATAACGGGAAATCAGTCGTTCCTCTAAAGAACTGCTGAGGGTTAAGGAAGGAGTAGAAATTCCTTTTTTCTTAAGCATTCTGGTAGGTCTCTAAAAACTGCTGAGGTTTAAGGAAGGAGTAGCAATTCCTTTTTCCTTAAGCATTCTGGTAGGTCTCAGCAACGGAGCAAAAAAGTCAGCCTTCTTCAAAGGGACAAGTGCTCAACAAAAGTCCAAATTTAGGCAGTTTTAATGGAGACATTAGGAAGAAGAAAGATCGATATAAAATAAGATGAAATATTAAAAAAAAAACCTAACAAACAAACAAAAACAAGTCCACCCTATATAACAAATGTAATGAGTGCAGTAGGTACAATTCTCAAGCTCTTTCTGTAGAGCAGAGAACATAGGAATTGCCCTGCTAACATTTCAGTGGGTGGTTCTTTCAATAATAATATATCTTTATTAATCTATGGATGGATAATGTTTGCCGTAACCTGGGTGATGCCACCTTTAACTCATTCACATGTACTTGACGTTCTTCAGAATCAACAAGTATATCAAAACATACATACATACATAGCGGGCTATTGCATCTCTATATCTAAATGTTGACATTTTTTAAAATCTATTTGTATTTCTCAGTCGCCGTCTAGGGTCTTTGCCAATACTGGCGAGTCCTACGAGGCCAAAACGGCTTTATGATGCGATTTGATTGCTGGATGGCTCTACTGTATTTAATTCGAAATTTGTATCAAAATGTGTTATTCTCTCATGGCCGTTTGTACAATTTAAACGAAACGGATTTCATGACTTTACCTTTTTTTAAACAAAGATTTATACGGAAGGAATTGCCGGTGAAACAGAATGCGCTCTCTATTTTTAATGGTCTCAGTGTGCATTCTTCTGTTTTATACTTTTTCATCGTATTATTGATTTTGGAATTTGTTGAAATACTCTATCTATATATGGCTCTCGCGATGACCTTTCCGTAGATCTTAACGAAATGGTCATCTGTGAATTATGTGTATTATAATTAAGAATACTGATGACATGATGATGTTTATGCAAATATACGAGGATATCGCAGCTTATCCGGAAACTCACCAATGTTGTGACATTCATCCCACACGGCCGGAGGTAACACAAGCGGGTCTGGAGATCTCTTCCACAGGCACGTGTAGACGTTCCTACACCACAGGTCACTGAGCACGGGCTCCAATTTCTATCTTGATCTCTGCATTCTGGATAAGGTGTTGTAGCAGGCGTGTTCGACCCCGTTTCTGTAATTTATACATAAAATAATGGATTAATATTATGTAAGCCTATTCATAACTCGATGACCGGAGTTTGTTTTCAGCTGCAACTTGGCGAGAAACTGGCACAATTTTCACAATATGTTTTCGGAAAGTTTCGGAATCTTCGATTGCAGGTTGGTAAATAGTAATATACTGTATAACGATCAGGTTTAATTCTGATGTATATAAGGGGTGCCATCTATATAATACGCATTTCGCTAAAAACCGATAATCAGGTGTGAAAAAAGAACACTTAAACGAAATTGTAATTGGAGGATTGATGTACATTAAAATTTGGGGTTTTTTTGTTGAAGTTGATAAAGAAATATACTTACAATGATTATGATATAATACCTTTGCTACACATTTTTAGATCGGAACAATTAAACGATTCCGACAATTGGTTAAGATGTTGTTATGATGTTACTACATATCCTATTGCATCTGTCAGTCTGCTTATCACCTAGCAATCAACATATGCTTGTGAGCAGTAAAAGCTAGAAAGCTGTATCCTAAATAGATAAGAAGGGAGTTGTGTCGCGGAAACAGATACCTCAGTGTGAATAGTTGTGTGTTAAAACCATGACATTAACATACACTGTTTACTTTTCTTGTTACAAAGAACAACATCTGAAATATAACGAAACTGCCTTTCTATAATGTATACATTTAAAAGGGTTACGTGATTTGTTGTATAGAGGCGGCAGTTTTGTGATAGTGACAACGTCTAACATCAAAGAAATGCCCGTAGAGAATGAAACAGTCCTTAGAATTCAGATCACGAATAATGTAATTTTACTGCCGTCACTTGATGCCCGTGTCCTTGTACACTTTATATACGACGTGACCGCTGTAACCCTGCAGTTCCCGTAACAGTATTATCTAAGAGCATCAATATCCATTGATATATACCCACGGTGGTATTGTGTACTGCCAACAGACAAACCGCTTAGAAAATCTATTTTCTATTTTCCTAATTGAAAAATCTTAATAACTACTATCACGATACAGTCTGCATAATGGAATAGTGTATGAAGAGAATGCCAATGGCATGTTTTTAATCAAACGTCATTTGATTTCAAAATATTTTCATTATTTCTGATTGCACGCAAGTTTCTGTGATGATTGAAATGAAAAAAACAACAACATTGGTATGGCTTTTTATATACAGATTCGATTTGCATCATCAGAAGATTAGGTCACGTGATCAAGAATCGATGAAGATTTGATTAATTCAGTCTGCACTTTTGTAGCCGGTTGCAGCACTGTTAAGAGGATTTGCAGATTTGAACAAAGTAGTGTCAAGTATATTACAAATTAAAGTTAACTAACATGAAGGTTACATACTTTACTTCAAACTTGATATATCCATTCTCTGCCCTTTACGTTACTCATTTGAACGTATCAAACACTTACTAACACAGACATTCTCTTCCCTTCACTATACTCACTTCTATATCCCCAACACTTACTAACACAGACATTCTCTTCTCTTCACTATACTCAATGATATATCCCCAACACTTACTAACACAGACATTCTCGTCCCTTCACTATACTCACTTCTATATCCCCAACACTTACTAACACAGACATTCTCTTCTCTTCACTATACTCACTTCTGTATCCCCAACACTTACTAACACAGACATTCTCTTCTCTTCACTATACTCACTTCTATATCCCCAACACTTACTAACGCAGACATTCTCTTCTCTTCACTATACTCAATGATATATCCCCAACACTTACAACATATCCATTCTCTTCCTTTACGTTACTCACTTCTATATCCCGATCATTTACTACATATACATTCTGTTCCCTTCACTATACTCACTTCTATATTCCCAACACTTGCTACATATACATTCTGTTCCCTTCACTATACTCACTTCTATATTCCCAACACTTAGTACATATACAATATCTTCCTTTCACTATACTCACTTCTATATTCCCAACACTTACTAACATATACATTCTCTTCCCTTCACTATACTCACTTCTATATTCCCAACACTTACTAACATATACATTATCTTCCTTTACGTTACTCACTTCTATATTCCCAACACTTACTAACATATACATTCTCTTCCCTTCACTATACTCACTTCTATATTCCCAACACTTACTAACATATACAATATCTTCCTTTCACTATACTCACTTCTTTATCCCCAACACTTTCTAACATATACATTCTCTTCCCTTCACTATACTCACTTCTATATCCCCAACACTTACTAACATAAACATTCTGTTTCCTTCATTATACTCACTATTACTGTTATGATATTCTGCAGCGAGTTACAAGACAACATGGATGAAGCGTTTACTTTGTAACCTAGGTTTTAAACAAACGTGTTTAAACCAGAGTTTTTCTTTAAGTCAGCCTTTGTGTATTCAGATGTCATTACATATTGAGAGTATACTTGTTATATTAGATAAATACTTATTCCTGTATTCTTAAACATTCCAATCGTAGTATTGGTGTAGATTGAAGGATATTGTAGTGCTGGTAAGGATCTATGACCATCGTTCGTTGTCCCCCATGGATACAGTCTACCGAGAATGTCACCGTAATCCTTCACTATATTGTTATCTGAATAAGCATTATCTTGCATAGTTATATCACTGAATTGTGTCAGTGTTGTTTCCACTAGATATGATTGTAAACCTTGGTGCTGTGTGTGCTTGCCATTTTTGAAAAGAAATACATTCAAAGGCAGATAAAAATAATTGAGAGTCAATGTAAACGGGAAAAATTATTTTGAACACTACTTGTCGTATCTTTTTGAAGGTTATTTTTACGAAGGATATACTTTTGTAAGGACGATAATGGTTTTCTCTATAAATATCATTTTAAACGTATTGATTATCCTAAAGTTAATTCCATTCTCGTAAAAGACGAAAAACAAAGCATCTCAAATGAAAAAAAAAGTACATTAAATCTCTAATCTGTCATCATATGATAAAGACGGATCGATTTAGTGCAAATATACACACAACGTATCGCACTCACGTATGGGTTAATACTGAATTCTGTAAATTTGAACAAAATAACGTTAATCAAATATGAGAAGGTTAAATAGCTGTATATCTAGTTTGTTTTCACTCTTTCAACCATTATCGACTGCAGGTTTTTGTAGAAGACGATTAACAATCTATGTTTATGTCAATAGTATCCTTCTGAAACAACCGTTCACACCTTGTGGTCAACATCAGAAGCTACCAGAACGCGAAGATTCACCGGAAGTAACTAAACTGCAAATTGCTTTAAAGGAAAACTGCTTATTCCCTAAGTAACGTGATAACAGAATTGAATTTGTCGGTATAAGATTTTATGTTTTTAATGTACATTTACTGGTCTCATGGAGCTAAATAATGTTGTTCTGTACGATTTCCTGCCATTCCATGGTAATAAATAACTACACTGAAATATTTATTGTTCCCATGTAAGGATGGCATTTGCAATTGAAATAATTGAGGGGTGAATTCGTTCGGCATATGAAAATACCTGCTGTGACGAAAACTTATCAATGGGATCATTACACGATGCTTAATATAGCAATATACTTTATGTTGCCATCATGACAATTGAACGTTGATACATACGTTGTTTGTCGTTTGGTAGGACTAGGTTAGCGCTCTGCAATGCAGCATGTCGAGGTGATTTGATGGTCTGCTCCTGGTAGCATGTCCATTCTTTACAACACATACCCCTAACCTCGGTAAGACGTGAGTTTGGACAGTGCTCAGTAGAGGGCCGGAAGTCTTCCTGGGGGCAAAGGTTAACACAGCCGTACTTGCCGTTCTGGCATGTGCATAATCGCCGACAATCTGGTTTGAATTTTTCGCCGTCTTTGTATTCCCGCCCATTTACAAAACATGTCTTTGGTTCCAAAGCTGCAAAATAGAAATAAAACAGTTCTTTACAAAGTGGCACCAGCTGTTTTATATTTTCGCTCGAGTACCTTTTTTTCCACACTTCGAAGTATAGTGTCTGCGTTCCTTAATGTCACTGTACTATTGAATGCGTATGGGCCAGATAACTTCGCTTTATACATATAAGCTATAACCTACATGGCGGAATTTCACGGAGGATCTCTTTGTTTTAAAAACAAACAACATGTGAATATATTCATTATCCCAACTCTAGTTAAATAAAACTAATGTGAACCAAAGAACACTTTACACGGATAATCTTAAAAAGTACTAGGATAATGAGTCCAGATGTTCCTGAAGTGTAAGCGTCTTCTGCGTCATCGACAACAGTCGCCATGGCCAATCCAAGTACGTTATGTCACGTTCTCAAATCAGAATATGGTATATGGCAACGGAACCAACAGCAAACTAACGAGCATCAAACACATCCAGCTTCAACAGCACAAAGAAAATATTATTTCCTCAATAAGATCAATATGATGACTGTAACACTTCCCAATCATTTTCAGTAACTTGTATCTTTTGAAACCCTTTGTTATTACTTTGTCCGTCAGTTGTAGATATACTTCTGGAAAATCGTGATAATGGGAACAGGCGATTTGATATAGAATCAACTACGATGCGAAATGTAAACACCATAGGTTAGGGATGCAGGAATGTTCCTATCCAAAAATGAAATATTCACAATATGAAAGCATTGCGCTTGTCGCATCACGTGGTGGAAAGCTGAGTGTAGGAAGGAAATGATCGAGATAAGTATCGTTTCCTTAATTTCCAATTCTGGTGGGTATAAGCGATGACTAATAAATCTCTTGTTACTAAAGACAAGACGTTTTCAATATATCTGAAAGTAAAATTGAAGGATTCTGTAAGGTTTTTGTGACCTGTAATGACAAGTCAACAGAGGGGCCTAGTTAGTTTCCATAGGTATACCAATAGTTTGATGGAAAATTCTACCACCGAACTCGACGCAGGTGTTATCAACCAGAAACTCAATCATTTTTATGAGTTCGTCCTCCGTATATTTTTTCTTATATATGGACGTTTGTTACACGTAGATTGAATCATTCGTCTTTTCGTAATAAAATACCAAATGTTTATGAGAACGGCAATGCTTAATGTTGAAGTATACTGCAGTAACTTGGTTGAAATGTATACAAACACATGACTCATGTCTTAATTCTTATACAACGAATTTGCATCTGTTTACTTTGAACTGTTAGTTATGTGTATTGTATGTCCCTACATAGATAAAATACTGTTCGGATAAAAACATTACTATTTTTTCGACTACTGAAAGTGACAAAGCCACGTTACATTGTTACTTTATATCTGTTAGTTGAAAAACACACAACGGCATACAATAAAGGACCTGTATCTATCCCTCCTATTATTAAGAACTTTCTATTTCTCAAAACCTCATTGAGCAATACCTCGGTTTTGGTCCTACATGTAGGCTTTACCCCAGCAAGGCGGGTTCTCTCCCATAATCGAGATAAACTTTGTCTATAAAATAGGTACTTGCTTCTCTCTGCTCCACGTTTAGTTTTCAAAAAGCGAAACGGACAGATAACGCGTTAATAAGTATAGCCGGAAGGGGAAGCCATACCTCTGAGTCCTGATTTTAACATTCAAGCGTGATGACTCTAAAAGCGCCATTAAGTGGCCCTATCTTTCGCAGACTTCAAATGACTGTAGGTGTTGTGAGGACATACAAACTCCCGATAACTAGTTTTTATACTCTCTTCCTATATTTCATCAACATTTGTTATGTCATATTTTTGTTCTCTGTTTGAAATTCACCGAAGAATGCCCAAAACCATATACTACTTTCATGGACTAACACCGATTAGTCCATCCGGTTAATGAACAGGACATACAAACTATATAAATAAATCTTTCCCGTACCTCTACAAATGCCTTCATTATCACAGTAAAGACCTTGTTGTTCATCACATCTGTCCTTCTTACTACACATATCACCATGTTGTCGAGCGCACATATAACAACATCCACATCCGTCAAGAATGGTTTGGATACCGTCGTTACAGACTGGAGGATTAGATGGACAGGAACATTTCCGAGGACATTCTTGTACCTGTGAAAAGAACAGGAAATGAATATTTAATTGATTTAAACTTTTCTGTAAATACTATGAATTGGCATGGATTATTTAACGAAGAACTCAAAACCCTTTGTCGTTTTCTGCCCAGCCTATGAAAACACCATCCATATTTGCTTTGTCACGACATTGTCCTATAAGATTACTATCGTCGATTTCTCAGCATCCAAAATCCAATACAGATATTCAAAAATTTTTGTGTGATAAAGAGTTTATGAGAACTACCTCAATTAACGATCAAGAAAAACATTCAAAGTTATTTTAAATCTCAAATAAACGACGGAATTCCGTGCCTTATATCTATGATGATTACACTTGATTGAAGTACGTTTTTCCAAAACCATTCATTGCATAACACTAACGTTACCGTCCTGCCGTTTGCATGCGTCAAGAAAGGAAAGCAAGCGTGGACTTAGCTACAGTCACGACAGTATGTCATTAGCTAGGTTGGTGTGTCATCAAAGATTTCGTTGTCAGCCTGATGCCGATAAGAATCTAGACTTTAAAGTGTTACGTTGCATGTTACACGGTTTGTTTCAGTAATCCCCACGCAAAACCAGTAACACGCCAAGGGGACAATATGTAGAGAATCATGTTCATGGCCGTACTTTATATTGCTCTAGTGGGTTGAGATAATGAATTTCGATGATTCTGTCGCGTACTAAAGTTATAACATAATTGGAGAAACATTGCTTTGTCGCTGTGTCTTTTTACAGAATCTAATAAAAATGCACGTTCCAGCTCCTTTCTTTTCTTCTTTGTAAAATATTTCTCCAACATAAACTGTAATACCTGATTGATAAGTACAGGCCAAGGAATGCATCAGTGTATGTCTACATAGGCTGTCTTTGTGTTTACTGCCAGTAAACATGGCGTTTTCTTGAAACTGAGGGTTCAGACACGTACAGACTAATCCGTTTATATTGAAAACGTTTGCTGTCGTACGAAGTGCATTTGAATTATGTTGCTTGTTTACAAAGCGGTACGATATTGTCTATAAAACGGTTCGAGCCGGACAGACTGGTTTTCTTAGAAAGATTAATACACTAACCTCCCATACAGACGACAAAGAATCGATGATATAAAATGTATGTATGTGGCGTAGAAGGTGGATTGGGGGGTGGAGGATGGCAAACACATTGTTTTGCTCATCAACTACCTCCCACATTATGACTTCTAAAATTTTAAAAAGGAACAAGTCTAACATTTGCTTGAGTTAAATATTTGTAAATTTACGGTACAGAAAAGTTTTATTTCCATCCAAAACTTATATTCCAGATTGTCAGTGTTCAGAAATTCTGAAAATGTTCTCCTTTCCGGACCATTCAGATATCTAAACTTCATGCTACCTATCATAAATATTATTCAGCTTTTTATGTCGCCATATATTGGTGATGTTGAAATGCTGATAATTAGTGCGTGTCAGTGGCCAATTTGCGCAAGTGCATTTTTATGGGTCTCGAAACATTTTGTTCTCAAAACAAAAACCGTTCCATCTTTCCTTCGATCTGTCATTCATTACTTTCGTTCTCTGGTAAAAATACACTTAACATTTCCGAATGCCGACATATGAATATGGTTCGCTAACATTATGTGTTCAATGCCAAAAAAATATGGTCGGTAATGCAAAATAGGGACGGTCAGGAACATAGTTATGTAATATAGTAAAATCGTAAATCTTTGATCTTGGTTCAATATGGTGTCATACCAAAGATGCAATAAAGTATTGACCTTCGGCAAACTAGCATGGTGATACAACACCATAATGACCCCATCGAAGTTCCAAATGATATTCATTAATATCATTACTCCAATACTCCAAACAAATACTTCTTTATCGTGGATCTTTATTGTGCGATTTCGTGGTTAATACATAAAAATAATGCTAATTAATGAGAGTGCGACGGTACATTCAACGTATCCGAGAGCTATGGTATGAGTCAACAAGAAAGGCATCCATATATACCGTGCTACGTACAACGTTTTGTTACTTTGTTCAAAGTCTTTCTTTCCGGTGACTGGTGTATTGATATTAAGAAGAACGCCTAGGTGAAATCCATCGCCAGCATTGGATACAGTATATCATACAGGTTTAAACGTTACGTCATAAACACTTAATTGGAGCCTCGCATGTTTGTTACTGGTTCTTATTTATTGAAAATGCTATTCAGCGACAAAAGTTTAAAATAGCAATTGTTTTTTTTTAAATAGTGAATTGCTTAAAATTCTCAGAAAATCTTAATATGTCATCATTGGCAGAAAAATAAAACTGGGTCATTTGTCTGAATATCTACGTCACGAGTCAAACCTATGGCTTGTACATAGTTTAGGGTAAATGGGTTTTCATAACCCAAGTACAATGACTCGACTGTAGCCATGACAAATTAATTATCTTTGTTAACCACAGTCCTAAATGAAAAAAATGCTGGAAGCAATCAGCATTCTTAAAAGTCGTTTTATGACATGCCTTACCTTGTTACTTGGATTGCAATCATTGCAGACACGTGTGTGAACATGATTTGGCTGGTCCATTACATATTCAATGTGTGAATTAGAGACTATTACGAATCATCAGTCGAACAAATAAAGTCAGTTACCTTAAGGAAAAGCGCCTTCAAATGACATTTCTCTAATGAAAATGTCGTATCTGACAAACTGAATGTGTTTTAATCAAGTCCTTACACGTTTTGTCGTGCTAAATTCCAAGAATGCTCCGAGGAAATTAAACGCCACTGTCTTTATTGGAATAGAAGGCGCAATTATTTCACATGCATTGTACAACAATATTTCATACTGTCAAACAGCAGACACAAAATTAGTAAAATGTCCCTGTGCCGAAACTACTAGCTCTACCAGTCACAAATTTCACATCTCACCGATAAAGACAGTTCTTACCTACATCAATCCTAAATTAATGTCAAGACAATCGGAAGCTTAAACGTGACTTTTCCTGGTCGGATCTTGCGGAAAGCATATATCATTTTTATTTTCTACTCAGCATTATACTCCATCATCGTGGGAATAACATACGGTTGAAATTGTTTGATTTATTATAATTATTTGCGTTCAAGTGTCGTTGTGACTATGTCGTGATAAGATCGGAAAACATAGTTGCATTACTTTGAAATTTTAGATGTTAGTGCTGCAAACATAAAATTATGTGATGCTACCTTGATTGTTGTAAGACCGACGACTGATATCGTCATAATACACAACCAGGATGACACATTGTAACCATCGTCGTATGATCTATAATGATAACGAATTCGCTGGAAATGTCTTGAAACATTAAATGAACGATTATACAATTGTAATGAATTATCCTGATTTCCACACACACACACACACACACACACTCACACACACACACACACACACACACACACACACACACACACACACACACACACACACACACACACACACACACACACACACACACACACACACACACACACACACTCTCTCACTCTCTCTCTCTCTCTCTCTCTCTCCCACACACACACACACATATATATATGTGTGTATACATATATATATATTTCAATCTCTAAATTGGCCATAGATTATTTGCAAAAGTTCAAATTCTTTTTTTTTCTGTTCAAACGTTTTGATGAACTGTTAGAAGAAGTTAAAAGGGCACATTTTATTTGAGTATTGGTTGCAAGGAAATTTGTTATAAATGTCACAACAAGCAAGTCAGAACTGTAAAGTTCTCGATTTAACTGTCAGGGTGTTGAAAGTAGGTGGTGCTATAAATCAGAAATGCCAATATATCTGTGGTCTGTGAAAACACAAACACCTTAAAGAGAAGGGGATCATTGATTAACCATCTCCAAAGGGAATGTTAAAACACGAGACCAGGAAATTGAGTGATTCCTCTGCTTCCATTACCGTCTCACAAGACCATTAACAATGGTTTCAAACAAAAACGCAAATAAATCATGACATTTGAAATTAAACACAAACACTTTGAAAATCCTTTTTCTAACCTCGATGTGAGATATGTGATGGTGATAGTATGGAGATATCTGCAGAATACAAGCCTGTAGTATACCATGATAAATCTAGTCACCTGACAAACTGGTAATTCCATTTGAAAATAGCTTATTATCCACTTGTCTTGTCTGATGTTCCAGTAAAACGATTGATTTTGCAGGTGTGAACTTTTGCTACTTGCTTAAAGACCTTATTTTAAATGTTTTCAACATGTACATATTTTTTTTTCGTTTTGGAACAGCATTGCTCAACAGACTGCACAATGCTGTATATTGATATGACTGTATCCTGATGGTTGCTTCACTTGATTTCAAAATATTTTTGTTATCAGTGTATAACTTACTATCGAGACGGAATGACGAAAATCTACATGAAGTCAGAAGTAATAGTGTTTGAATAACTATAAATAAGCATCTTCTGCTTCATTGAAGACGCCTGCCTTCCAAATTAGAAATACCATGCTCAACGTCTCAGCAAACGCAGCAGATCGCCTGTTGAAAATTAGTCATCTTTTACACACCTAAACCTGTGTCGTCGTTCGCAAGAAATTGAAAAATAATGTTAATTACAACGGAAAAAATGAAAAGTAATTAAAATATTAATTATCGTCTTTTACAATTTTCTACTGGGCAGATGATAGCGTCTGCTGACACACATTGTTGATGTCAACTGTTCATTTGTAAACATAATGGAAGGCATCTCCGAAGGGGAGTTTCATGAAAGGGTGACATGATGATGTCACTAAAACGATATTGGAGCGACATATGGAAATTTGAATTAATGCAGAACTAGTGCAAATGGAATAAAGATTTTTTTATCACGTGACATGTATTGACTAATCAGAAACTAGAGTATATCGACTAATATTCTACCAGCAGCGTCTATCACCTGTAATCTCGAGTACAAAAGAGTTAAAAGACACAAATGAGTGGCACCTTTTCATACATAGTTACATCAGATATAGTAGAGTCAAACAC